AGTGAATGTTCTATGCAGTTGTGGTTGGAGCTGTATATGTTCTGAGCTTCTTGTGTATTATTATAAAACAAGGTGTGTCGCCCCACCCTGCCCTGCTTTCCATGACGTTGCAACTACCTTGCTTTCACTCTATCTCTCCCATTCTCCCAAAACATCTATGACTTCTACCGACCACCAAAAAACAACAAAAACACCCACATTTCATAGCCTGGCATTTAAAGCTGAAGATTCACCAGACACACTTCGAATTTCCTGCCTCCATGCATTTGCTCACACTGCATTCTCTGCTTTCTCAACATCTGATCTTCAGCAATTGAAGTCTTTTTCTGGGCTAAGCTCAGATGCTGCCTCTCCCAGGAAGCCTTCTCTGATATTCCTGGCCAAAGGACCCTTCTCTCTTCTGAATGCTAGAGTAATTTTTTTCTACCTCTTCTGAAGTAGTCTTATATTCTATCTTACATTTTAACCATAGGGGGGAATGCTGTTGGTCTCCCCCATTAAACGGTATAGTCTTTGAAGACTTATACATTTGTCTCATTCATTGTTATATCCCCAGTACCTAGCATAGTGCCCTTTGCATAGCAGACATGTAATTCAAAATATATTTATAAAACAAATAAACATATGTGCTGGGAGTATGGAGATAAAGGAGAAAGTTTCTTCTGTCCATGAGGAGCTCATAATCTAGTGAGGAAAAGAGGAGCAGCAATAAGAATTAGTTTAATATAAAGCTCAGGCAAAGCATTTGATCTATGAGTCTGTGGGTTTTGGGAGGGCAGGGATGGTGGCAAGGTGGAGAACATGCAGGTTGAAGGAACCGCCTGGATGGAAGTACATAGCATATCTGGGGAAGGTAGTAAGGAGCCTTAGGACTGGCATGTAGGAAGCATGCAGGAAAATAGTTATCTTCAGACAGGGGATGTGGGCACGGCATCATTGAGGGCCTAGGGTGCCTTCCAAGGAATTTGGATTTTATTATTATTATTATTTAAAGATTTTATTTATTTATTTGAGAGAGAGAGATAGGGAGAGAAAGCACAAGCGGTGGGGGGGGGGGGGGGCGGTGTGGAGGAAGAAGCAGGCTCCCTGCTGCGCAGGGAGCTCCGACATGCGCCTTGATCCTAGGACTCCAGGATCACAACTCAAGCAGAAGGCAGATGCTCCACCGAGTTAGCCACTCAGACACCCCTGGATTTTATTCTTAAGGCCCTCGAATGAAGAGCCATTGAACTTTCTTGAGGAGGAGTGTAACAAATACTTAATGAAGGAATGACTCAGCACTGTATTTTGGGTGGACACTATTCTTTGGCCAGGTCCATTTTAGGAAAATCTTATATTGGTTGCTGAGCACTACCCATTCTGTGAGGCCACCCTGTCCCCTGGTCAAGCCACCTCTTTGTGAGATGTTCCCTTTTAAAGGGGCCATCCTTGAAGAACCCTTGGTTAGGTTGGAGAAGTCTGTTCTGTCCTCTGCAACAGTGTTTTTCTGACCCATCCCATGGGTCCCACATTCTGCTTGGATTTTATACAGAAATTCTTCTGTTTGGACCAGGTTAGGGTTCTCCAGAGAAACAGAACCAATAGGAGATATAACAAGATTTATTATAAAGAATTGGCTCAGGCAATTATGGAGGCTGAGAAGCCCCAAGATCAGCCATCTGTAAGCTGGAAACCCAGGACAGCAGGTGGTGTAAACTCCAGTCCAGGTCTAAAGGCTTGCAAAGCAGGAGTGCAGATGGTGTAAGTACCAGTCTGAGGGCAGGAGAAGACTCACAGCAGACAGGCAGGGACACCCAGTGACATCTACTATCTGTCACTGAAAAACTTTCTGAGCCTAGGACTTGCTGGGCCCCCTCCATAATGTGACTTTTGTGGAGACAGGGGTGAGGGGTGGAGATGGGGCAACGTCCTGTACAGAAAAAAATCATAGCTTTTGGAGTCAGTCCTAAAGAATCAGCTGAAGGTGCGTCTGGGTGTGCCTTCCTTCTCAAAGGAAGAAGGAAGCTGTGCTTGGACGGAGCTGTTAGGTGCCTTAATTTAGGGGGCTGAAAACTTTCTGCCTAGATTACCTTTAGAGGTCATTCCAGTTCTTAACCTGTCTCCCCAGCCTACCTTCTATTCTCTGAGCTCTGCCCTCCTGCCAGCAGCTGTGGTCACATCTGATAAGTAGGCAGGCGCCTAGCCCTGACTGAATGAGGACATTGTTGCAAAAACTGAGTAACCACAGGCAATACTGCAATCAGCCCTGCCCTGAGAAACAATGGCCAATCTGTGGTTGGCCTTCAGCTGGTCCAGCTGTGTGTTTGAGGTGAGAGCCTAGGTGGCTGGGCCTCCTAGAGTGATGAGAAAACTGTTAGGACATGCTAGAGAGATGCCCTGCTTTTCTGGAACTGAGGTTAGCATGTTATGTTCCCTTCAAAACTAAGAAACCCGTAATTATGGGTCTTCCTCAGAACTGGGCACTACGTTGGTCCCCGGTGCAAAGGAGGAAGTAGGAAGTAGATTGATCCATGGCCTTGAGAGAATTACTGTCAGGTAGGAGAGCAGAGTGACACACATCACGAATGCAAGCCTGTTTGAAGGAGGCACAGCTCCGCAGATGCAAAGACAAGGGAAATACCAACTGTGTGTGTGTGTGTGTGTGTGTGTGTGGTACCAGATGATGGGTAAGTTTTAAAGAAGGTATAGAGAAGGAAGCAGGCTAGGCAAAGGAACCAGCACCAACGAAGGCTAGAGCTGAGTTGGGGGACTTGGAAGGTTTAGCAGCAGGTGCGCGACGCAGCGACAAGTTTTGGAGGTCACTCGACCCGGGTAAGGTCAGAATGACGCTGTGCTAGGCATTCCCTCCTTTCCAACAAACTGTTGAGCGCCTGCGTGCCAGAAGCTGTTCTGGGCAATGGGAAACTGCAGTGAAGATTCCGATTAAGCCCTTCCTGAGGTCGGCTTGACTGGCCTGGGCTTTTGTGGCCAGAGGTAGCTAGCGTGGCTCTGGCAGCCCCGTAGATCTCCGGACGCACATGGCTCTGTCGGCCGGTCCGCGGTCGCGCTGCGCGCGCCGCCTAAGCTTCTCCACTGCCCCGCCCGGCTCGGAGCCCGCCCCTAGCCCGACCCACACGTGGGTTCCAGCACGTCCGCCCGGCTCCCCCTTGACGTCAGCCTCCCGGTTCCATTTAAGGCCCCTCCCGCGCTCCGCTCCGAGTGTCGGAGCCGCTGCCGCCGAGTCCGGATTCAACCTCGTGCGCCGCTGACGCCCGCCCGCCCGACGTGCACGCCCGGTACGGTCGGGCTCCAAGCGCACTGAGCTGGAGGGTCAGGAGAGCGAGCTGCCTCTGGATTTGCTAGCTCGTGCTAGCCGCGAAGGGGTCTCAGCGTCCGGGGCGTGGGGGTGGCAGGGTGGAGGCAGAGTCCGCATCCCTGGGCGGTGGCCCACGCCATGCGTGGGCTCGGGAGCCCGCCGCACTCCGCTTTTGCTCTAAGCGGGCACTGCGGCCTCTGGTCGGGCTGGGGAACCGCGGTGGCCGCAGCTATCTGTGGTCGAAAGCCCAGGTAGATGCAGAAAACAAGGATCTGACAGATTTGAAGGATGGGACATACCTCCGGGCTTAAAATAGGGGAACGGCGCAGTACTCGAGGTCCGGTTTCCGAAAAGCCTCAGCAGTCGGGGGTGGGGGAAGAGGGAGGAGGTCTGAAAGCCGGGGAGCGCTGCTCGGGTCGCTTTTTTAACCCTGGGACTCTCGAGAGGTGGACTCCACAGAGGGGCTGCTGTCTGGTGATTATAGGGCGCTCTTGGCGCAAATTACACTTACTAAGCTGCTGCTGATGTATCGGGTGCTACGCTAGGCAAGATGCATGCAGAGATGAAGCAGGAAGAGAGTCTCAGCCCTCATGCATCGCAGATGGTATTTTGAGAGTGGGATATCTGGTACCATCCGCTCGTTCTGAGAAATGGGGGAACCTAAAGCTGGGAGAAGGTTTGTGCAACTCAGAGGTCACAGAGTGGTGGCAGAGTTGGGGAGTAGACCCTCTTTCTGTAGGGCTCCTCCCTCACCCGTGTCCCCACATTGAAGGGAGCGCTGGATCCCAGGGCTTAGGTTTTGGTGAAGCCAGGTCTAGAAATAGCAGTGATTTGTAAGGAGAGACCTGATTCCAGCTTGGTAACTCTGGGCTGCCTGCCTGGAAGTCCTCTTGGGTATTTTTGTCCTTTTGGAACTCAAGACTAGACGTGGCGCTTTGGGATGCAACCTGGGATAATCTTCCTGGTGAATGCAGTGCAGGGTTGGATTAGCATAGCGAAGGCCTCCTCCCTGGCTCTGGAAATGGAGGATTCCACCAAGCATCTATTATAAACTTTAGGGCTCCAGGCCTCTGCAGCTATTTTTGCACTTCCTGTAGTGACAAAACTTCCTCCTACGGGGCCTCACGCCTTTGCAACATCGATCACGGTAGAAGCCACAGGAGGCGATTTAAAGTCTGGCTGTGGCCGCGCGCGAGGCCAGGGAGGCAACCAGCAGGGGCACTAGTTAGGTCTAAAGTCCGCCTCGGGGCTGGCTCCGTGTGACCCTAAGAGCACGCTAATTCCCAATCATTTCCGCTCATGGGCGGGGTTTCCCAGCCCGCCGCGGTCGGCGCCAGCGCCCAACTCTGGAAAGCCGCGGTCCTGACTCGACTCTTGTCCCCTCCCACTGCTTGGAAATGAGCATGCGCGCAAGCCCTGAGCAGGGCAAGGTGGGGGAGGGGCGGTAACCCCACGAGCTCCTGCTGAGCTGTTGGTCTGATCTCCGCCCGTCCTTCTGGGCCTGGAGGAAGGAGTGAGTGCGCGTGAGCAGAGCTTTATGCGCGTCCTACGCCGACTGGGTCGTGTCGTGAGGCAGTTACAGCAGCTTTTTGCGCGTTCCTCCGTTTGAGGGTTTGGCGGGAACCCTGGTGACTGGAGTAGAGCTGAGCAGGCAGCTCACAGTGATTTTGTGTGAGGAAAGGCGGCCCCGCTTGGGGTTAATAAGTCAAGATGAGTGAGTCGTCCGGAAGCTATACTTACACCCAAACGTCAGTATTATTTTTCCACGCCAAGGTGAGATCCTTTACACCAAGATCCTAGGCAGACCAGACCCTGGCATTAGGTCTTTCAGCATTCCTTTGGCCATCTTTAGGTTTTTTTCTTTCCCCCTTTTTAGTGGCAAGCATCCCAGAAGTAAAATAAGCTCTTTTGGAACAACTTTTGGTCAATAGTATTAATTTAAAGAAGATGTAGTGACTGTGCGTGTTTTTCCCCCCTATAGATTCCTTTTGGTTCTAAGTCCAAAATGGCAACTCTCAAAGATCAGCTGATTCAGAATCTTTTTAAGGAAGAACATACCCCCCAGAATAAGATCACAGTTGTTGGGGTTGGTGCTGTTGGCATGGCTTGTGCCATCAGTATCTTAATGAAGGTAAGTGAGAGCCCATCTTTCTGGAAGCCACGCATCCCCCCACTCCTCCAAGAATTGCATTATCACATTGTATAAAAAAATACTCAGGTTCATGCACTCAAAGAACTTTTTGTGGAACAAACTTTAGAAATGTGATGCCATACCAAAAAGGTATCTGAACTAGAAAGAAGAAGTTGTTAGGCAGGTGACACAGTTCCTTAAATTCACTGTGCCATATTAACATGCATGAATTGCCTACAAATGGGGGCCTGTCTCTACTTTGAGGTATGTCCGGATACTAATAAAAGTTATTTTAAAATAATTGTTGAATTGAAAATCATACATACATTTGGTAAAATTAAAATCACACTAAATGTGGGAAATCTTAAGTCTCTATCCCACAAAAATCCCCACGTTGAATAGTAATTTTGGTACCAATTATGGAGCTAAAATTTAGTTAGAATTTGTGAATGAATAAAGAACACATTTTACAGTAGTCAAGCCTGGTTTATGTAAAAAAAAAAAAATTGAGGCAGCTTATGATAAAATATTTTAAATTTAGATTTGGAGTTTCCAATAAGGGAGTGAAATGATTAATTCTGGGTTTTGAACAGGAAAGGATTGAAATTAGGAACCGAAGGCAGAAAAGAGCTATGTAGAGGTTGGGTAACAACACATGTTGCTTTATATGTGTTCTTAGAAGGGGCCACATAGTGTAAAGGTTTTCCCCACTATCCTAAAGGAGAGCATTCCTATGAAGCTTTTCGGAAGCCAAAATGGTATAAAGTGAAGAGACAGTTACCATTAATTTATATGGAAAATTTTTTGAGCATTCCCAGACCCAAGAAAAATAACCTTAGGCTTTTCTGATACTTCAGGACACATCTTGCTAACAGATGCACAAAATAAAGTGAACAGATGTTCACACAGTTCAAAGCTATAGTAGCTTGATACTGAGATGCTGAGTAGAGTTCCCTGGGGAAGGAGCTTGGTGGTACCTAGGATGTATGCTACTTCTCTGAGGGCTCACTATGGAACAAACACTGAATGCTATTTCTGCTTTTTGCCTTTTTTTCATAAAAGCAAAGATCCTCTTTGGATTTCTTTCAGTTAGTGAAAACAGGTACGGTCTTGTGTAAAAGTGAATTGGCATAATGCAAACTTGTAAAAATGAGGGGATGCCTATACCAATTCTTCCTGCTTTCCCACTGGATCGGAAATTGATGCCATCTGTTTTTCTCACATCTGTGAATCACCTGTGGTCTTTTCCTGTGGTGCTGTCTAACTCGGGTGTATGTAAGAGTAACTGCCAGGTTATTATATTATAGATAACTCAGGAGGTAGATCTGTAGCTCAGCTTAGTATAATTTACTTGGTTATAACAGTTCACATGCCATGTGTATGTATTAAAGCTCTTATTGGTGCTTCTGGTCCGAGATGCACCTGTGAACATTGACAGGTTCAGCTGAAAGGATATTTTTCACCAATACTATTTTGCAATACACAAATCTATCTTAATACTGTTAAGTGTTGGTTAGTATATGGATGATATACAAAGAATGATTCAGAATATCACTTTTTTAACTTCCAAGAATTAATACTGGTCAGAATCACTTATGTAGTGAATAATGACCTAAAATCAATGTGTAAAACTGAATTTGAGAGCGTAAATAGAGCAGTTTTATGTAATTGGATATTATTCCATCCGTTGCCAATCCACTGTTCTGCTTCCATACAGTGGCATGGTGGAGCTCTTGAAAAGGTTACTCTAGTGAGGAGAGAAGATCAGTACTTCCTCCTATGCATGGGTCACCTGTGAGTCAGTTTTTAAATGGGGGCCTGTCTCTGAGGTATGTCCGGATACTAAAAAAGTAGCAGAACTCTTCTGTGCTAGAAATAACAGAAATTTTGCATGCCTTTCTAAAACTTGGAAGTAGCAATTTTCCATGTTTCTAAAAATTTTATATCTTTTAGGACTTGGCAGATGAACTTGCTCTTGTTGATGTCATGGAAGACAAACTGAAGGGAGAGATGATGGATCTCCAGCACGGCAGCCTTTTCCTTAGAACACCAAAAATTGTCTCTGGCAAAGATTATAATGTGACTGCAAACTCCAAGCTGGTTATTATCACAGCTGGGGCACGTCAGCAAGAGGGAGAAAGCCGTCTTAATTTGGTCCAGCGT